AGGCGGTGGGCGGTATTGCCGAAACGCGCGCCTGGATCCAAAGGCAGGAGGTGCGCGCAACGGACGGAGGGCGGCAGAGCGCCGCGATTAGGGGCCAGCGGCGCGGCCTGGGCAGCGTCCGCTGGGATTCAGGAAGTGAAACATGGCGGGGAGAGAGGAGCCGAGTGACAAGAGGGCGTCGGCCACCGGTGGAGAAGGCAGTGATGCCAGTGGCAAGTGGTTTGCAGGATGCGTGGCGTCACGCGCGGAGCAGACGGTATTACCGAACGACACCCCAAGGCAACGGGTGAGAGAGGGTGCCGCTCAGGGGAGGGGGGGGGCCGGGCCGCCCCAGGTTGACGGAAAGGGCGGCGGAGGGCCGCGGTGGTGTGTCGTGAAGCGCAGGCGGTGGGGCGGGCACTGGGGGGCGGTGAGGGCAGAGAGGTAGTTCAGGCTTTCCAGCGGAGCCTCTTTTCATCTCGATCATCCCGATCATCAGGGTAACCTCCGCCGCGCTTGCCACCCGCCTGCCAGTGATCCTCACGCCATCCGTCGCGCCACACGCCCTGCCAACTGCTCCAGGTGTCCCAGGAACTTGTCGCACGGTCGCGCCAGGCCGTGTGGCGGTAGCCGCCTTTGCTCCAGTCGTCTGGAATGCCGCAGGTAGTTGGCTCGTATCTTGTTCCAGTCGATACCATAGCTCAGTCTCCTGTCCATCTCGTAGGCGTCGTACCCGCAGTCCTTCCAGGCCTCTAGGAAGTTGATGATATCCGCGGGCGTGTGCAATTTCGGGTCGGACTTGGGCGCCCTCCATCCAGGGGGCAGAGTGCTGGTGGGGATACGCGAAGCGTCTAGAATTGCGAATCTTCAAACCCCTCACTGCACCACCATTGCGTCTGTTCTGATATATACTGGTAAGCGTTCTGAACTTATGTACAAATATTTGCATTATGCGCACCCCCCACGCCGCGAGACCGGGAAAACAAGAGAGTGCGAAGCAAATGCTGGATATGTGGGACGGCACAAAAATAAGACACGAACCGTGCGTCTTGAAGAGAACGGAGCTGAAGTATCCAGTGAAATAGTTTCTCTCTCTCTCTCTGTCCAATTTTGTGGTATGTGCAGCGATGGAGACATCACTGCCGAAGAGTGGCCGTTGGGGCGGCCCCCAGAGCGCTCCAAGACACCCAATATGGCCTCAAGACGTTAAACAAATACCACGAGGACGCTCCAAGAGGACTACCAATCAGAGGCCCTCAGAAGCCACAGCTCGTCACATATCCTTTTTGTGATCTTTGCATGTTTAACATCGATGCTTTTTGGGTACACGCGGCGTCCAAGATTGCCCCAAATATCCCAAAGACCGCCCCACTAAGATTCTCAGAGGCCGCGAGGCGGCCCCAAGACGGTCCAAGAGACATCGCAGATGGCCCAAAAGTGTCCCAAGAGGGGCGTAGGAGGGGGAACACGAACCACCAGCACGCCTCCAAGAAGCCCCCGAGAGCCTCTGAGAGGCCCCCAATGGGGCCCTAGTAGGTTCGCAAAGGTAGCCCAACGGCCCCTAGAGCCTAGAGGCCTCAAAACCTTCAAGCGTGTCTCCAAGACGTCCCCCCCAAGGCTCCCTGAGGAGCTCACTACAGTCCTCCGAATTACTTCCGAACATGTTCCGACCCACATGTGAGACACCTCAACGAGCCTTCCAGCTGTCTGCGGTCCAAACGAACTCCGAGGCCGTCCTCTTGCTTCCTGACCCCCCTTTTGCTCCCCATGCACTCCGTGACAATGAAACGATCGAACGACCTGATCCCCCTCGCGTGTGGGAACAAACAGCCGGAGGCTTTTAGCTACTTTCGGCCTCCAGGCCCTCATCAAGAGGGCCCCCAAAGACCGTCAAGAAACTCCCACACCGACAATCCGCGAAGGCTTTCATGGTTGACTCCTGTCGTCGTCGTGCTGGATGCCCCTTCCACTCTCGACCCGCAGCCCAGGGACGGTGGCGGGATGGGCCGAAGCCCATTCGTATCCGCCGCCCCCTGCTTGCAGGGGTGCACGGCGTGCTGGATGAGCTGGTTTTGGTTTTGGTTCTTTTTCTAAAAGAACTCCCCAGTGGGCTCCGGCCCGTCCCGCCGGGGTCCCGGGAGGAAGCCGAAAGGACCTCAATCCGGAAACAAATCCTCCAAAAAACGGCCGTTTCGCTCGGGACATCCTCAAAAAATCGCGAAGATGGCCCAAGATGGCCTCCAAGTCCGCCCGAGATGGTCCAAGACGGCCTCCAAAACGGCCCAAGAGAGTCCAAGACGGCCCAAGACGGCCCAAGAGGCCCCCCAGAGGCCTCCCAGACGGCCCAAGAGGCCTCCAAGAGGTCCTCCAGGAGAGTCCGAAGAGGCCAAAATCATTGATTTTTCATTGGTTTTTGAAGGATTCTGGCATTTGCGCCTTTTCGGCTCTCCGACGGCTCGAGACGGCCCAAGAAGCCCCCAAGATCGCCCAAGAGGCCCCCAAGAGAGCCCCATGATGGCCCAAGTGGCCTCCAAGATGGCCCCTAGAGGGCCCCAAGAGGGCCCAAGAGGCCTCCAACACGCCCAAGATGGCCTCCCAGACGCCCAAGATGGCCTCCAAGACGGCCCTGGAGCATTCCAAGCGGGCCCCAAGTCGGCCCATAGAGGCCCCCCAAACGGCTTCCGACGGCTTCAGACGTGCCAGGAACCCACCAAGATGGCCGAAGTTGGCTCGAAGCTGGCCCGAGACGGCCCAAAAAGCCCCAAAGATCGCCCAAAGCTTGCCCAAGAGGCCTCCAAGACGGCCAAGATGACCTTCAAGATGCCCACGTGTTCCCCGAAGGCTTTCCAAACCGATTCGGGGAACACGTGGTCCGATAGCTTGGCAGGTCTGGCCTCAAGGATGATTCAGGTTTTGGTTTTGGTTCTTTTTCTAAAAGAACTCCCCAATGGGCTTCGGCCCGTCCCGCCGGCCACCCGTAAATTTCCCAAAATGCGTCTGTCAATGCCCAAAAACGGCCGTTTCGCTCGGGACATCCTCAAAAAATCGCGAAGATGGCCCAAGATGGCCTCCAAGTCCGCCCGAGATGGTCCAAGACGGCCTCCAAAACGGCCCAAGAGAGTCCAAGACGGCCCAAGACGGCCCAAGAGGCCCCCCAGAGGCCTCCCAGACGGCCCAAGAGGCCTCCAAGAGGTCCTCCAGGAGAGTCCGAAGAGGCCAAAATCATTGATTTTCCATTGGTTTTTGAAGGATTTTGGCATTTGCGCCTTTTCGGCTCTCCGACGGCTCAAGACGGCCCAAGAAGCCCCCAAGATCGCCCAAGAGGCCCCCAAGAGAGCCCCATGATGGCCCAAGTGGCCTCCAAGATGGCCCCTAGAGGGCCCCAAGAGGGCCCAAGAGGCCTCCAACACGCCCAAGATGGCCTCCCAGACGCCCAAGATGGCCTCCAAGACGGCCCTGGAGCATTCCAAGCGGGCCCCAAGTCGGCCCATAGAGGCCCCCCAAACGGCTTCCGACGGCTTCAGACGTGCCAGGAACCCACCAAGATGGCCGAAGTTGGCTCGAAGCTGGCCCGAGACGGCCCAAAAAGCCCCAAAGATCGCCCAAAGCTTGCCCAAGAGGCCTCCAAGACGGCCAAGATGACCTTCAAGATGCCCACGTGTTCCCCGAAGGCTTTCCAAACCGATTCGGGGAACACGTGGTCCGATAGCTTGGCAGGTCTGGCCTCAACGTTCGGCCACATAGGCGCTTCCAAAAAGGCAGGGTGCGGCGGTGATTCGCCGTAGGCGTCTTCGATAGATCTATATACGTATTTCGAGCAAGCAGTGCTGTCTGTGGCAGTGTGCGCCAAGCCAGCTCAAAGAAAACAGTGTCAGATCATCTAGGCCAGGCACTTGTCGCAGTGCCTGGCTGTCTGACCTTGCCCTGAGAGCCTACGTATTGATGGGTCCGCTGCAGTGCTCGGGGGGGGGAGGAGGGCCCTGAGGGAGTCTGCAGCGTCCTGTGATGGAGAATTTAGGGGCTGCCCTTTCTTGCGCTCCAATTTGGGCAACATCTGCGATGCAACCTGCGTGGTGCAATGCCTGGGATGCACTGGACTACGTGATTCATGCGCTAGCACACTCCCGTGCTCGAGCATACGCCACCCGCCCACCCGCAACCTGTTGTCACAACTCCACAGGCCGCGAGTGCAAGTGACTACCGGAACTTGTTCGCAAATCTCAAGAGCCGCCGTGGCGGAGGGGATGGCGGAGAGGCGGACAGGCACGAGAGGAGGGTAGAGGAGAGAGACCGTCTGGATCAACGTGAAACGCATCATGCAAGCGGGCCTCGCGTCACACCTACTATACAAAACAGCGTTTGGTGACAGCGCCGCTAATTCAGGGCATATCTCCTGTTGGCAAGCTGAAGCAAGCCAGTAACAGTAACGGTTGCGAGCAACGTGCAAAGACTAGCGACGTCGAGTCAGCATTTTAGGTTTCGTGGCAATATGAGCGAGGGACAAGCTCAGAATGTGTCGAGGTGATCAGGAAGGAGAGAAGAGAGAAAGAGACAAAGAGAGACATATATATGTATATATATACATATGTATATATATATAGAGAGAGAGAGAGAGAGAGAGAGAGAGAGAGAGAGAGAGAGAGAGAGAGAGAGAAAAAAAGAAAGAGAAAGAGAGAGAGAGAGTGAGAGAGAGAGAGAGAGAGAAACTGAGGGGGCAGGGGGCGGCGACTGATGGCATGAATGGGAAGAAGGCAGAAGGCGGAGGAGAAGGACGCTGAGATCGTGGGGGAGGAGGACTCTGGTGGTAGACTCTAGGTGGTGCGCACGCTGGGCGCCTGGGTGCGAGGGTGACCTGGCCGACCCAGGACGAGAGCCGAAGCCAACGCCTGACACACCCCGCAGGACAGGAGGAGAATGCGGAAGAGGAAGAGGAAGAGGAAGATGAGAAGGAGCAGGACATGGCACGATACATAAAAAACAGCGCGAATGTGGAGCAGCGCGGATTGCCCGCGGGGCGAGCCTCACAAAACCAACTTCGAAGGCGTGGGCCCCTCCTCCCAGAGGTTTCTGACATCCTCCCGCACCCCTCCGATCTTTCCCTTTTCCTCCTCCACCTCCTCCTCAGCTTCACTACTTCTCCTCCGCCTCCCTCTTCCTCTTCCCTGTCCATCTCGTCCCTCCTCATCCCTCCTCGCTCTCCCTCTCTCCTCAATCTCTTTCTCCCTCCTCCCTTCCTCCTCCTCTTCCTCCTCCTCCTCCTCTTTCTCCTCCTCCTCCTCCTCTTCCTCTCCTCTTCCTCTTTCTCCTCCCCCTCCTCCTCTCCTCCTCCTCGTCCTAACTCCTCCTCCTCCCCCACCTCCTTCATCTCTTCACCTCCTGCTCCTCCTCTTCCTTCCCTCCTTCCCTCCCTCCTGCTCCATCCAAGACCCTCCCTCCTCATCCTCCTCTCCGCCTCCTCCTCCTCCTCCTCCTCCTCCTCCTCCCTTCCTCCTCCCTCCTCCGTTCCTCCTACTCCTCCTCGTCCTTCTGCTCCTCCTCCTCACTTGGCCGCGCCCCCTGGCCCTCGGCGGCCGTTCTTCTCGGTCCTGTTCCCCTCTCCCCTCTCCATGGAGGCGATGCGCCATGCCATGCCGTGGCCTGGAAGGGCTCCTGCTCCAATTTGCCCTGTGGAAAGCGAGGGTCGCGGGGGCCGCTCCGATTTCCCACCATCCCCAGGTACAAGCACGACTGACACCAACCTGGCTGCCGCTCTCACAGAGCTAATTCAGCCTCCTCTCGTGCAGTAATGACTCTCTCACCCAACAGTTTGATTGGGGTATAGCTGATTTCAGCAGCCATGTTTCGAGAATCCAGCGTGAGATGTTGCAAGCCTAAACGAATTTGCAGAGTTTACCGGCAGCACGTGCAGATCTCACGAAGCAGAATATTGACAATTTCGCAACTATTCGTTTTGTCCAAGAACAAGCGCTTCTCCAGGCCACTCAGGATTGTGAGATTCCTGAGAGTGAGATGATGCAGGAGGTGGCGGGGGTCATGGGCACGATGACGGAGGAGCTAGCAGCGCTGAGGGATGTTCAAATTAGATGCGCAACAACCCCTTTTGGCGGCGCAGCAACTCCTGGTGATGGTGATCCATTCGCCTGTCAGGTTCTTCGTCGTGTCGAGCTGAAAGACGTTGGCAGCCCGACTCTGTTGTGGTCCTGGGATTCCCGCGCCTGCTTCTCGAGGCAACTCTTCGCCAGGCTGTTCACCCGATCGTGACCAAATGTGCCTTGGCCAGTGACGTCCCCTGTTTCCAGAATAAAGCTTTCCACTGCAGTAAGACTGTGCTTCTGGATTTCGCGGATACTTTGGTGGTTTCCAAGGTCCACGCGAAATATATGTCAGTGGGGCCGTTCATTTTTCCTGATCCTGGGGGTGGAATGGACCTTGAGCTCCGCGTCGGCCGTGACCTCCTACAGACGTCTCGCAAGCTGTTTTGCTGGGCACAGTTCTCCGGTCAGGGGCGTGTTGGATCCAAGGGACATGGGGGGATGATATATGTGTTGAAAGGTGCTAGTCCTGTTCCAGTGGTGAGAATTTCCATTTGGCCCAACGGCTGCCAGCGTTCAAGTGGTGGTGGACAAAGTGAGCTTGGCCGAGCTTGAGGGGGAAACGCATGCGCCATGCCAGCAGGTCCGTTTCTCGGAGACTTCCCGTTAGGTGGGTGCACCAGCTGTCTTGAAGGAAGGGGGCTCGATGGGAGTAGTTCTGAAGCATCGGCATCTGTGAGCTCGCTTGTGATTTGATCCTGGACAGGACTGGGGCCACTCCCCCGGAGTGCCAGCGGCGTATCGATACCTGATCTTTCTGGAGGCCTTCGGTGAACAGGGCCGTACTGCATAATCGAATCCTCCATCGAACCGTCTAGGAATTGAGAGTACAAGTAAGAGAAAGTAATACAGAGTGAAAAAAGTAAAGGGATGAAACAACAATTGTTTTGTGTCAGCGCTGCTGGGATGCGTGTTGGTTCCGTTTGTGCGGAACCAACCTTGAGCCAATGCTACAACCCGCTGCACTGCTGTCACTCTCCCCTGCCACTGCTGATGCTACACGTCAAAGGTTGTCCCACTTAGTGGGATTGCTGATGCTATGCCAGGGGCAAGGAAAGAGAGGGGAGAGAGAAGGGAAGAGAAGAGGAGAGGAACATATATGATCTGGGCCCTGATAAAGGGGGGCCAAAAATATCACAACATCCTTGCAAATCAGTCATCCCACTTTGTGGGATTGTTCACCCTCAGAGATCTACATCTACGATGGCCTCCAGGAATCATCGCGCTCGGGCGCTTAGGCGCGCTTCGCGCTTGGGCGCTCTCACCATACGGGGATGGCCGGCAGCGCGCGTGCTGAACACTCGATGTGCACACGCTCGCGTGAACCACTGGAATTCTTAAAGTGCAGCTCAGGTGACGCAGATATTGTGGCACAAACTCCCCCTGCACAACGGCGCGGGAAGCGGCGCTGGGCATTCAATACCACTGACGGTCACGTTGGTGAACTCGCGTCTTCCCTCCACGCCGGCCCCGCTTCTTAGAGGGAAGGCCCTGGCGGGGCGTATCCTCGATCAGCTGCACGCCGGCGCTGCTCAGTACTGCGGCCGCCGCTGGCGTCGCCGAGGTAATATCGCCTGCCATTGCTGAGCGAAGATTCCTTAACGCGTCTGCCCCGCAGCAACGTCATGCAACGCAGCGTCAGGAGGGGGGTACCGGGGCCACTGGCGCCTCGTAGTCGTCCATGGATGCTCTGACGCATCGCAGTTCCTCCTCCGAGAGGCCCGCTGTTTGAATATTAACCTTCGCCTTCACATGTCCTCCCTGATATATCCAATAACCACCTGGCATGGTGTCGCACGGCCCGAACAACGTCCCAGGGAGGGGACGTGGCATGAGAGCATTGCGAGGCTTGGGGTTAAGGTTGCACATGATGCGCGTTCCGACAGGTATGGATGGATATGGTCCTACCTGGGCGTCTGCTTTATACAGTTGTGCCGTTGCTAATATGGCTACTCCCCGCCATCTTGTCGGCAACTTCTGCAGAGAGAGGAGATAACGACCGCGGGCCTTGAGCAGACCCACGGCACTCTCAGCCGTGCCATTCGACGACGGGTCGTAGCCCCGGGTGGTGGTGTGGTGGACGCCGTGGAACTTGAGGTAGTCATCTAACTCTTCACTGATAATGCCCAGTCCCTTGTCGGAGTGCGGCCTGAATATAAGTCCCTGTGAAAATCCACAGTGCTCGCCCCTGATCTGGGCAAGTAGACCCATAATGGCTCTCGGTGCATCGCCCTTCTTCTCCAGGATCGCTGCGTGCAAAATTTGCCTCTGAGGATCTTTAGCTGGATCATCCAACGTGTCTGTCCCCTGTGTATTTGGCCTCGCCCGTGTCCTCCTCCGTTTTCCCATGAGGGGCAAACTTCACGGACGAGGCTAACATATAGTGAACTGGAACTGAGCCCACCTTGCGCCCCGGCTGAGGGCTAAGATCGCGTGGCCCCGAGAGGTCCACGGAGCAGACTCCGAGGGGCTGGTTTGTGTAGCGTCTGCGCTGGTGACGTCGTTGTGCCGCCGCCTGCCGGTGGGCGCTTTTCGTATGAAACATTTTATGCTGTTGTGGGTCCGCGGCGAGGTCACCCAAAAAATGATCATTGGAACCTTTGGGGTCCGTGCCGATGCTCTCGCCTGCGCCGGCCATGGGCTCGGGCGCGGGAGAGGTGCCGGCCCGGGGCTCAAGCGCGCGCATCGCGTCCTCCTTGACGCTCTCTCTGGCGCCAGTCGTCGACTCAGGCACTGAAGAAGTGCCGGCCTGCGGCTCAGGCACGCGCGTCGCGTCCTCTACGTGAGTCGTGGGATCGCCTCCGAATTGTCTAGCTGGTGGGGCGGCAGTTCCTGCTGCTGCAAATCGACCCGCTGGTGCCATGGAAGGGCCATTTGTCAATGGAGTTGATGGTGATGGTGTTGATGGTGACGATGTCCACTGAGACGCCACCGACATAACCCATGGATCTACTGACGCATTCCATACATGCTCGGTCTCTCTCTCAACTGCTTTGCGCTTTGACCCATCCAAGACCGCGCGAATGCTCTTCAACATTGCACGTTGGTCCAAAAATTCGCCCAGAGGCGAGTTATCTTCCGGCCTGGAGGCCAAATCGCGGGCTCCGATCCCGCTGGGCGCCGTGCGGGGTCCAATCCCGCAGCGGGCACCTATCCCGCTAGGGTGGGCACCAATCCCGCCAGAGCCAATGCAAATACCGATCCCGCACTCGGCGCTAAACCTACTTAACTGTGCCCCCCCCATCGGAAGCCTCGCAAATAACCGTCATGCTACTAAGAAAGTCCTTGCAGAACTCGTCCGTGTACTTGCCCGCCTACGCCGCGCGCGAAATCCCGCCTGGGTTTGCGCCGCGAAGATGTAGATGAAGATGCGTGCCGTCGGACCGTGCGTCTGGAACCATCGGTCTGCGCGATTGAACGTGCGTGGCCTTGCGCACGATCAGGTTCTCCGCCTCCGCCTCCTTCATGCATTGATCAACGCGCCGCGCGTGAAACTCGACCATCCTCAAGAATCGCAGGGGGGAGATGAGGAAGTAGATCTGTCAGAGAAGGCAGGGTTTTCGATAAAATACGTTCGCCCCCACAAATATTGAAAGTAACAGCACTGTGCCAAGAACATGAGCGCGCCCTGCTCCTTCAATCTCTTGGCCGTCCTCTGAATCTCAAGCGGGCACCTAGAATTCGCGCCCCGTGGATGGCGAGACGGAGCCGCGCGCGGATTCAACGCCCAAGAGCACAGCAACGTGTGGGGCAAGATGATCTGATCCCGGGCCCTACCTATTGACCACCCATAAAAATAATCGATCGGAGGGTGGCGCGACACGTCGGACTGCCGCGCGCACTTGGATAGAGCGCCGGAGCCCGCGCACCACTAACACAGAACGGTCAGTTCTGGGGTAGTCAACTGCGCCTTCAACCCGTCGTCGCGGCCGTCGTCGTCGGATGCGCCCCGGGGCGGAAATCGTGAGAGGCTCGACGGGATATTCTGTGACACGTCGAACTCGTGGCTGTCGGCCGTGAAAATGTCCATGGTGGCCTTCCACTTGTCCGGCGTGTGGTGTAGTCGGACTGGTCTGTGTATTCCGCGGGCGTCGCCTTGTGCCGGCGCACCAGGTCAACCGTGTCCTTCTTCCCCAGAGAGCCTTCAAGGTGGCCCAAGGCGCGGCGTATCTCAGCCGTGGTGGCCGTTGTTCTTGCCACTATCGCCTTGGACGCGATCGGAGTTGACATCTGCCCATTCCTGCCCGGAGCGTCCTTGTCAGGCAACTTACTAAACAGGTGTTTCGCATCGTTGCTGGAGATGTGCGGCAAAATGCCCCGCAGCTTCGCGCGTAGGTGGGTGCCCTTGGGCGTCGCGGGCGTCGGGCCTGAGTCCTCTACGATGTACTTGCACTTGCGCCCCCTACTCCACGACCAGGTCAGCGGCAAAAAGTCGATGTTGTCGTCTTGAGGCCTGGATTCGACCGTGCACATGGGGATGCCCTTGGGGCCAGCGCTGGTCTCGCACTTGCACGATCCCCATGCTAGTCGCAGAGTGTCCGTCCACATCTCAGCGGCCACGCTGGGAAGCTTGCGCACTAGGTGCACGTTGGCCCAAGACTCGAGGCCGACGCATCCCTTGGGGAATGCAAGCTCTTCCGTGTTGGCTGCTGCGACCCAGGCTCCGCCCGTCCGTGGCTGGTATGGTTTGCCACCTTTGCTGCCTCTGTCATCTTTGCCTCTCTTGCCCTTGCCTTTGTCTGCTGTGTCGGCGGTCGCCTTGTCGCGCCGGGCCCGGCGTGCCTCCCGATTCCTCAAGTAGTTCGGATTTTTGGCGCCTCCGGGCGCGGCGCAGTCCTGAGTGGCGTGACCCGCCTCGCCGCAGATGTAGCATCTGCCAGCGTGTGTGGGGGTGCCTTCGCGCCGGAAATGGCGCAGCGTTCCCCGCGTGCATTTGCCTTGCTTCCAATCCCTGCGCGGGGGCGCCCATTTCGAAGTGGTCGTGGAGAGCTTGGCCTCAGTCCCTCCTGTGGAACCGCCCATTTCCTTTGCCCGGGACTTTCCGCCTCCGCCTTCTCTTCGCCCTCCTCCGTCAGCGCCTGCAGCGTTCGCTGCAGCGGCCCTCTTCTTCTCCCACTCCTTGTTCTGGGCGGCCTGCCGCTTTTGGGGTTGGGTGAGCGGGGGGCCGGGGTTGGCGCCCTTCGAGCCTTGAAGGGGAAGGAAGGACAATTCGCCCTCGGCGAAGGCGGCCACTTCTTTCATGGCAGCAAAAGGAGATCACGCGAGGGAGGTTTAGCGCAGTCTCCAACTGCATCCACCGTAACATCAGGTTGTCGTCTCCCTGGTTTAACGCATTGGCAAATACACTCCGCATGGCCGCGTAAAGAATCGAAGCGCCTGGGAAGTTCATGCGACGCTCATTGCAGCGTCTGGCAGCGCGCCAGAAGCGCTGCAACTCGTTTAACGCCGATTCTGGCTTACTGCGCGGCGTGGGGTTCGCGAATTGCTTGAGGACTGCTGACTTCTCGTCTGCAGCTCCCGGCCAACGCGTTTTCAGAATCAAGAACAATATGTCTTGGACCCATTCCTCGAGGCCCTGCATCCCGCGCTCCGTCAACTGCTTCTTCAGGTTCTGCGGCAGCGCAACGACCGAGCGAGGCTTGATCCGCGTTTCTAGCATCTGCCACTTCACGGGGTTCCGGGACTGCATGGTGGCCTGGAGGTGCGCGCCATGGGTGCCCTGAGCGACCTGCCAGCACCAACCCCGCCATTGGGTGACGCGTGGCCCGCCTGCCTCCAGGGCCTGACCAACCGCGTGCCGCCACTTCTGTAGCTGCTCAGCTCGCTCGGCGAGATTCCCTAGGACTATCTCTGGGAATTCCCCCACGCAAGATTGCATAGCCGTCAGGATCATGTTGAGCTCTGCAGTGGAAAGAATTTGCTCTGGCACTTGCAACTCAGACTTCTGGCGAGCGACTTCTCGATCTACGCTTCGACCGGCATCCAGAGATGAACCGGCGCAGCCGCCAGGATCGCCGAGGCCTGGGCGTTGGCCACCGTTTCCAGGCGGCTCCCAGACAGCACTACGTTCAAAGTGCGAGAACACATCGTCGAAGCTTCTCGGCACCGCTCCGTCAGCGAAGGTACCTCCGATGCTCGTGAGCTGTTGTGCCTGGATTGCGTTCTCTGCCTGGGCTGCGTTGCCTTGTCCTGACGCTGCTGCCGGTCCAGCGCCCGTCGCCGACGGCAGAGGCCTGGAGACAAGCGCGAGTCCAGGGGGGATGTCGATACCTGTGTCCTGAGCTCCCCTTGTTCTTACTTCTGATTCGGTTGTAGCCCCTGTGCCCCAAGCGTGCGCGTGACTGGTGAGAGCCCTTGGGCCATCATGTCTGGCCTCAGGGATCCATGAAAAGACTGGCCCCCGAAACTCGGGAGACCGTGGTGCTGGGTCTGCGAATGCGCCCCGCCCGTCCTGTCCTGCTCCTGGCAGCAAAATTGGGCGGGATCAGCGACCTATCGTCTGTCCACCAACTCCTGTCCTCCACGCCCTCCAACCTAGGTGTACCTCCGCCAAGCGGCGTGGTGCCGTCCGCGAGGCAGTATTGCTCAACTGTTGCGGGTGCCGATCCCGCTGCGGGTACCGATCCCGCTAAGGCCAGCCCTGGTACCGATCCCGAGTCCAACGTCGAACCTCCCAGAGTGCTGGCAGGCACCGACCCCACCTCTCCAGGAGTATGGCCGAGGCGCGGCCTCAAGAATATACATCCCAGAACTGCGAAATTACTGATTTTCGTCAGCCGGCGCTGGCTCCCAAGACTGATCGTTCCAACTGTTGATGGCTGCTTCGACAAGGTCTACCCTGGCAGCGACGCCATCGGCACGAGCCAGCGCATTCGTGTGCTCATGATCCAAACGAGACACGGCAAGCTCCAACTTCTCGATCTTGTCAATAAGTGTTCGTAGCAAAGTGCCGGTCTGAGGCAAAACTGTTGGATCGTGATGCTGGGGAAGATGACGATGATCAGGAGTCGGCAAAACGAGTTGCTGCGTCTGTTCTGCCCCAGACGGCGATGACAGTCGAACGTCTTCGGCGCTCGCGTAATATGCGCCACTGGCGGCCCCTGGCTGATCATCAACCCCATCCTTCCCATGTGGTTCCCCTAATGTGGGTACCGATCCCGCTGCCGCCACTGCGGGTACCGATCCCTTGCGTGACGATGCGGATTCCGATCCCGCCAGGGCTGGTACGGGAGCCGATCCCGCAGCCGGCGCCTCACTTAGCGCTGTCGTCACCGCTTTGGCACTCTTTCCGAAGTAAGACATACCAAGGAACCCTACACAATCGCCCCTCCGTAGGTGGGCAGTGTGGCCTGGGTTTGAGGTGTGGCAGGCCAGACGATGTCCGCCACCGTCCAGCGTCCTACCGACGGAGCTGGCCCGTTGTCTGGAAGGTCTGGGCTCGGGGTGTGCTTGTGGTGGTGCTGGTAGTGCTGGTTGCTCTGGTTGTTCACGCAGTGCTGGTCTCGGTGGGGGCCCATCGGCCGAAGAGGTGTTCAAAACTCCTGCAACCACGCCCTTCGCCAGCGTAACCGTGCTACCTACAACTAACGCTGCAGCGCCCCCAATGGCTGTGCCCACCGCTGCAGATGCGCCCATGGGCGTCGTGGCGCGGTCCTTCCACAACGCCAGCTGGTGGATGTAATTCTTCTGCCATTCCTGGCGGCGTACCTGGGTAGAGTAGTTGGAATATTCCTAGATGATCTCGAAGATGCAATCGCCGCAGAAAGGGAAGTCCTGAAATAACTCCAACCCCAAGCGCTGGATGTCCGAGCTTTTCGCACTTAGAGCAAGTGGCGGGCTCGCTGACCATAGTGCGACACACCTGGCACGCCATCGTGAAGCCGTGCAGTATTACCCTATCCGGGTCAGATACCATAGTACGATTTGGGTCATAACCCTTGTGATTTGATCGTGGACAGGACTGGGGCCACCCCCCCGGAGTGCCAGCGGCATATCGATACCTGGTCTTTCTGGGGGCCTTCGGTGAACAGGGCCGTACTGCATAATCGAATCCTCCATCGAACCGTCTAGGAATTGAGAGCACAAGTAAGAGAAAATAATAAAGAGTGAAGAAAGAAAGCAAAGGGATGAACCAACAATTGTTTAGTGTCAGCGCTGCTGGGATGCGTGTTGGTTCCGTTTGTGCGGAACCTGTCTTGAGCCGCAACAGTGGCGGGGAAAAACGCGACATGCCATCACGGATGCTACAACCCGCTGCACTGCTGTCACTCTCCCCTGCTACTGCTGATGCTACACGCCAAAAGTTATCCCACTTAGTGGGATTGCTGATGCTATCTCACAGTGCTTGCACGACGCTACCTCTACAATGCTTTTCCCGGCCTCATTTACTAGGGGTTGCTTCGGGAATTCAAGGGGGTACATGGGGGCAATGAAAAAGAGGAGAGAGAAGGGAAGAGAAGAGGAGAGGAACATATATGATCTGGGCCCCGATCAGGGGGACCACTTTGTGGGATTGTTCACCCTCAGAGATCTACATCTAAGATGGCCTCCAGGAGTCATCGCGCTCGGGCGCTGAGGCGTGCTTCGCGCTCGGGCGCTCTCACCAAACGGGGATAGCTGCCAGCGCGCGTGCTGAACACTCGATGTGCACACGCTCACGTGAGCCACTGGAATTCCTAAAGTGCAGCTCAGGTGACGCAAATATTGTGGTACAAAGCTCAACTGGGCCCCCGTCCCCTCCGGGCAGCGCTAGTTGCAACCCAAGTAGCACAACGCCTCAATTTTCTCCTTCTCTGGCTGGGGTTGCTGGTGGAGTCTGCCGTCCGTCTAATCCCCTCACGCTCTGTGCGTGGAGCAGTCGTGCTCTCGTTGCGTACATCTCATCCCTTCGCTCAGACCGAGTCCAAGGTTTCAGCAGGCGACGAGATTGTCCGAGCGGTGTCAGATTGCATGCTTCCAGGTAGCCCGTGGCTCCGGGGCCGACTTGGCCATGTTAGGTGGCGAGGTGCGCGCAGGTTATTTGTATGGCAATTGCATGGGAGATGGGGCAGCTGGTGGGGTGGCCACATGCACCCCCTGCTGTGTTCCCGCATGTGGTTCCTAAAAAGGTGGTTGAAGGGAGGTCCTCCTACTGCGCTGCTCGGGGCCTGCTGGGGATCTCACGACTGTGAATGTTCATATGCTTCACACGTGTGATCACACCAGCATGTATAAGCAGTATCTGAATAATATCGAGGATCAGTTTTTCCCTGCAGCTCACAATATGGTGCTGGTAACGAATGGCTGGGATTTCGTTCCGATGGAGGATGGGAGGTTCTTGGCTGGGGGTTTCTGGCTGGTTCCCCAGGGATGGATTGCACTGCGACGCCTTTCATGATCGCTGCAGCTACTGGCGTGAAATATTTCGGCCTGGCCCCGTTCGCAGGGACATGTTCGGTGGCGGGCTTTGAGGGTTCTTTCTGCTGGAATCGTCAACGAGTTGGTTGTCGCGGCTTGTGCTGTTAGGGCCCTGGCCTACACGTGGGGCGTCGTCGGACCGCGTCCATGTTGCCGTGGCGACCCCGTTGCCTGACTGCAAGCGGCGGCGCCGCGAAGCGCCGCCCACCGGCGCCAGACAGGACGCCGGCCGCGGCTAAGCGACGGCGCTGCCGAGCAGCACGATCGCCGCGATGCGCTCCAGCGCCGCCGCCGGGTGACCGCCGGGCTAGCAACTCGCCGCTCGTCCGTGGACGCCTGCGCCCACAGGAACGCCCGGAGATCCTGGCGCGTGGCTGGCGGCATGCGGCTTCGTCCACAACAGCTAGCTGCGGACTCGCCAGACCTCGGCACAGACCGCGGAACGCGCGGAGCTCCTGGCCCGTCTGGCCCCCATTCTCTGGCACGGCTGCTAGGTGGGCTGGGGCTTTGGCGTTGTGGCGGAGGTCGGTGGTTTCCTGGCTCCCCCCCGCGCGCTGCGGCCCCGGTCGACCTGCACCCGAGCGCGCCTTGTGGCGGCGCCTTCGGATGGCGCCTCAGCAGATGCTGACATATCAGCGGCGGCGCGCTGAGAAATGTCGACCACGACGACGCCTGGGATAGCTTGTTTGATGCTCTGTTACGCTACCTTGCCCCGCCCAGGGGCATGCTGCTCTGGCAGTGTGGAGTCATGTGGAGTCGGTGCTCCAACCTCTTTCAACCAAGCGGCAATGTCGTGCTGGCACCTGTTTTGGCGGCGCATGAAGCCTGGGCCTGTGCGCCGTCAAATGGCTTGGCTACTAGCTTGCACTTTAGAAACGCAGCCGTTGAGCGCGCTGGTGGTAACAACTCGGCGTGCGCAAATCGCAATGTCCATTACGGGTGCCACAACAAGGCCGCGCCCCTCTACGCCGGCACAGCGGACCAGCGCCGCCGCGCCACCGCCTATGTGAGCTACCGTTGTCAGCAGCACGTAGCGGTGGGCCCACTGGGCCGCGGGCTGGATCGCCACCCTCTGCGAGCTCGCGTTCGTCTCCGCGCCCGCGGACCCGAGTCGGGCAGCGCGGGCAAGATCCAGCGCTGCTGTGTGCCGGTGTGTTGCCGCGCGGAACGGCAGCCTCGGTCGGCGAACCCTGCTCGGTCTGCATCCTCCGCCGTGGCCGTGGAGGCCGCCCAGGCGGCCTCTGCCCGCAGTGCGTCATGGAAACCAGCGGGCGTCCACGATGCTCGGCGGCTGGCAGAGCAACGCCTTTTTTTGTTTCTACTCCTCCTGCTTTCCTCCTTCCTCCTCCTCCCTCCCTCCCTCCCTCCTCATCCTCCTCCTCTTCCGCCCTCCTCCATCCCTTTTCCTTACAAACAACTCCTCCCTGTCGCGCCCCCCGACGTGGCGTTAAATCGGCCCGGGCGTTTCGCCTAAGACCACATCACCACTTATGACCCTGATGCTTGTGACATATCGCAGAATCACGGATGGCGAGCGGTTGGTGTTCAGCACGTGGCTCTCGCCTTAGCGCCACGCGCATTCGCCCCACAAGTTTGCACCAGATTGTTTCAAAGATGGAGGGCGGGTCCTTTTCAAAATGTGGCTCTCGCCTTTAGGGGGAAGACACACCTACCTCGCTTTTGACCACCCTCGCTTCCAAGAGATACCAAACGATGCCAAACTACGGCCTGCGCTGGTCAGGCCGCTTGACGAGGAGGCGCGTGGTATGACTTGGTTTTGCCTGGAAGCGAAAGCGGGGTAGGTAATTCACGCTCTGAGCCTTACCGCCGCGCACAATGAAACAGTCTCACGTACGGAGGGCGGATGGTTTTCAACATTTGGCTCTCGCGGTAGTCTCGCGCGCACTCGTCTTAAGTCTGCAGCATTTTCGAGGGCGGAAGGCGGTTCCTTTTCAAAATGTGGCTCTCGACTCAGCGCCGCGCACATTCGTATTGATGTGTACGACGGTTTCAAGGATTCGTGTGATTCGAACCCCAGAAGTAAGTTGTGCTTTGGCACGATTTGGGATGGTCAGGACGCAGCAGTCACGTTGATTCGCGGTAGTGAGGTCCCAGGAATGGTGTTCTGGCGCGATGTAGGATTGTCGGCGCGCAATAGTCGCGTTAATTCGCGTCTTTGACGTCCCAGGCACGGTTTTTGTTGGCACACTGTCGGATTCTCAGACGGTTGTCTTCCCGCAGAGGAAAAATCTTCTAGGGGCCTGTGAAGAGGAAGCTTGGAGGAAGGTTTATGCAACATGGTTGATGCTCCTTGGTTTTACACTGGTCCTCCTCCTCCTCATCCTCCTCCTCCACCTCCCGCTCGCGGGTGGACTGGAGGTGGAGGAGGAGGAGGAGGAACAAGACAGAAAGGGCAGGAGGAGAGGGAGCGGAATGAACATGACCTCCTCCTCCTCCTGCTCCTTACGCCTCCCACCTCTGCCCCGCCCCCCCCGTCTCCCTTTCATTCTCCTCAGCCTGTCCCCTCGATTTTCTTCCGCCTGCTCCTTCTTCTCCTCTTTCTCCCTCCTCTCCTCCTCCTTGTTCATCTCGCGGGTACCTCCTCAACACCTGATGCAACACTGGACGGACTTCCCTAGAACACTCTGGGATCAACCGCTGGTCAGTGCGAGGAGAGCGTTGATGGGAGCGTCTCCTGGCTGTGTTTTCTCCTCAAGGGTTCGCGACGGACCCATTGGCCGCTTGAGGATCTCTGGTAGGAGGCGGCGGATGTCTGCCGACCAGGCGCCGCGCAATTTTTTGCCACAGTCTGCGCCTCGTGCGTACGCCCGTGAGCTTCGCACCGTTGGTTGAGGGTGGACTTCCTTTTCAAAGGTTCGGTAGCTTCGGTAACCGTCCACGCGCCCCTCACTCTCCCCGTTCTCCTCCTACTCCCCGCCTCATTGCCATCCTCATCCCCTTCCTGCCCATCTCCCACTTCCCGCCGCCCCTTCCCTCACGACATCCCCTTTCCCCCCTCGGGGCTGGAAGCGCTGCTCTGAGGGGGGGGCAGCGCCTTGCCTTCAAGCACACGTGCCACTCCTCCTCATTCTTATCCTCTTCTGTATCTCTTCTCCTCTCAGATCAAAGCTCGGACATGTGGTCTCCAATGACATCGACTGAATTGGTACGGGCCTGGTAAGGGCGCCAACACTGTCGCTATGACTCGCCCAATGAGTTATGGACTGGCAGCGGAGCTCCCCGAAAACCTTAACCGCCGCTATTCGCCGCCCGAGACAAGACCACATACTTTTGGCTCCCGAATCCTCGCTGGTCGGCATGGTCACGTCCACGTACAAACCAAACCCGCTCTGCGACAGCCGCCGGTTGAACGGCCTCTGGGGTGCTTCTTACTTTCACTCCTCGCCCGCTTTACCGCCAATTCATTCGCTCATGCAGCTGTGAAAGCGACCTGCTGGCTGCCTGGCAACTGATCACAACAATTGTACTCGCTGGTTGAATGAATGATGCAATGTATGAATGAATGATTGGCGTACTGACGATACGTTAAGTCACTTGACACATGGACTGTCAGACTGGCAGCCCGATAAAGAAACCGACGAATTGACCGACTGAATGGCACACGCGCGCACTTTCGCTTTTCCACCGGCTCGCTCTACAACTCAACCTCAGCTCGCCGTCGCAATCTCGTGCTCTCGATGCGGGCTGCGCATATTTCTCAACGCGACGACTATTGGTTCCATTGTCCAGCACCAAGCTATGATGTAGATCGTGATCTGAACGATATTGGTTTTGGGTCGTGCCGTCGCGGCCGGCAGCAAACTTCTCAAGGAACAGAACAAATCCGGCGACCCTGTCGGCGTGTGCAGAACGCTCTTCCGTTCGTCGTCGTGTTGTCGTCATCGTCGCCGTCGCCGCTCCCCCCTTTTCCCTGGGCACTCCTACCCAACTGGGCCAGCCAAGGCGAAATTGAGCAACGTCGTAGTGGAGTTGAAGAGTCGAAGGCAAGCCCTTTGATCCCTTCCCCGCCGGGGGGGTGGGGGCCCAAGGGGGGGTGGTGTCGAGGGGAGTCCCGGTCCTGGGGGGGGATCCCAAGTCAGAAAACTGTTTCAACCTGGGGGGGCCTAGGGCCTTACAAACCCTAAGACGGGCAAAGAGTGCCACTATAGGTTTCCAAAATGTCCAAGAAGACCGCGAGTCGCCAAACTATCCGTGCCGTATGCCACAGGTGGCCTCAACACCTCCCAAACAAACGCTCCGCGAGGCCTCCAATAGCACTCGGAAAAGGTCCCAAAGAGATTAAACTTATAGATCTTCTTTCGTTTTGGAAAGATTTTGGTGGTCTCGTCTTCTCGGCTTCCCGACGCTCCAAGACGGCTCATCAGGCCTCCACGACCGCCCCAAGATCGTTCCAAGATAACCTCAGAAGTCTCCAAGAGGACCCCGAATCGACCCAATAGGGCCCCCAGACAGCCCAAGAGGCCTTGAAGACGACCCAAGGTCCCCAAGACGGCTCCCAGAGAGTGCCCACACAGGGGACTCGAAAGGAGCTTTGGAACTTTCGGCCCCAGAGCTTCCCATGAGGTCCCAAAAGGCCCCCCAAGAGGCCCCTAAAGGCCCCCAAGAGGCCCTCAGGATGACCCAAGAAGTCGTCAAGATAATCTCAAGAGACTCTCCAAGAGGCTCCAGAAGACCCAAGAGGTCGCCCCCCACTCCTCGTCTACCTGTTCCATCTCCCTGTCCTCCTCGCATACAGGGTCGGCGGTATCCACCGTAAGGCCTAAGTCAGAGAGGCCTTCCATAAATTGTTCGCGTGTGCACCGGGCGAGGGCAAGGAATTACGAAAGTGGCTCTCCGTGCTCTTTGCTGTATCCACTCTGCATTCGACTGTCTACTCTCTTCTGTTCGACCTATGTTCTCTACTCTCTACTATATGCTCTCTACTCACCTTCACATGTGATGTCTACCCTCCGATCTCTTCCTTGCTCTCAAGACTCTCTATTTGCTACGTGCTCTCCACTATCGTCTCTCCCCTCTTCGTTCGCTTACTTATGCTCTCTCACTTCTGATTTTTCATTGTGCTGTCTGCAACATACTTTCTACTCTCTGCAAATAGCTCTGTGCGACATCAATTTCCTGCCACAGTGTAATCACGTTTTGTCTATTTCCTGCAATCACTACTCCCTGTAACAACTTGTGCCCAAGAATTTTGCTACCCGCCGGAATCAACGGAACACTGTCGCCCAAAGCTGGCAATTCCAGAAACCAAGACCTTGAACCCGGAACGCGGGCCCACCGAACTCGGCGGCACAATTTCGCCAAATCCTGTCAATGTCCACAACGGATTTTTCCCGTGCAAGCGCTGGTTGGGGAGCCGAACCATCGGCCGCACCTGCGGGACTCTTCGAGCAACGGCTGTTGCGAGCGACATGGGCGCCTCGCGGCGGTGATCAGCTGGCAACGTGTTCGCCTGTAGACCTCCATGACACGATTCTGACTCCCCCCTCCTCCTGCTGCCGCTGCTCTGCCGCTGTTCTTCTCCCTTTCTTCCCTTTCTTTCTCCTCCGTTTCCTCCTGTCCACCTCTCTTCTCTGCCACCTTCTCCTTTCCTCCCTGTCGCCCTCGTCCTCGTCCTCCTCCTGCGCATCCCGCCCTTTTCCCCTGTTTTTCTGCTTCTCCTCCTGCTCCTGACCCCCCCCTCCATCGCACTGCCGCGCGCGGGAGGGGAGGCAGGAGGATGGGCAGGAAGAGAAAGGAGAGAAGAAACAGAGGAGGAATAATAGGATGAGAGGGATGAGAAGGGACAAAAGGCGAGGATGATGGGGTGGAAAGGGAGGGAAGAGAGGACATTACTTCCCTTGTGTCTTCTCTTCCTCCTCGTCCTCCTCCTCCTCCTCCTTTCTTCGACGAGCTGCCAACTAATCGTCCCTGCCTCGTGGCATGAGTCGAGAGGGTCCCGAAGGGAACAAGTCCAGAATCTCCCGAATAATTCTCGGATGGCCCCAAGGACCAGGAAAAGGGCTCGCGAGGCCGAAGATGGCAGAACAGCTCACGACCCCTGTCGCTCAATCCGCCGGCCCCCTGTGGGGCCACCAGGCTGTAGGGCGAAGTTGCTTCTCCCTGCGCCAGTTGCAGTTTCAAGTATCTAATGTTACAATCATGCTTTCTGCTTCCTACTGTAAACTGTTGAAATCCGCGCGAGGGGGGAACCCCAAACCGCCCGGTTACCACGCCCGCATCGCGTTCTCTGAATTCATGGGGGGACGTGGTGCCCGTGAGAATACATGAGATTCGTGTCCCCCACAATCGTAAGTTATACAATATTCGCGTCCCCGAGGCCACACACCTAAGTAAATTGGACAATACTCGCGTTCCCGAGGCCGCACACACCTTTTTGTACTTTGCACACTTTTCGCGTCCCCGAGGCAACAAACCATCGTACATTCCGAAATTCTTCACGCTTCGCGTATCCCCACCAGCGGTGGCTCTGCGAGCAATGCTGGGTCAGCTCCCTGGAAAGCAAGGGGATACACGTCCCCGTACCCAGCACAACCGAACGCAGTACCAAAAAGTCCATGCAGTGGCTATTACAGGAGTACAAGCGCAGAGTGGACGACGACCGTGCACGCAAGAGAGCCAAGACTCTCGGACTCTCCCCTCTCTGTCCAGACTACCGCTGGGGTTCGGGCAGCCTGCCGACGCCCCAGTCCCAACCTCTCTGAAGAACCTCGTCATGCGCACGCCGCGCCAGTTCCAACCAGCCAGCGCAGGCACCACGCTCCCACCACACAGGCTCACCGACGGCAAATTCGGCACCGAAGTGACCTCACCCAACTGTACTCGGCCTGTTGTGACACCTGTCCCCCCTGTTCCCCCTTGCTAGAGTGGTCGCCAGGCTCACCAGCCCTTGGCTGCTTCATATGGCGCCCAGAGGCAGACGCTGACTGCAACGAGCAGACAGGCCTCCCGCCGTGGGACGCAATGCCCCTGCTGTGGATCAAGAGGAAGTGGAACGCCGGCTGGGCATGCAGGAGGTGCCTGGTTCACATCTGGGACATCGCCCCAAGCGCCCTCGATCGAATACTTGACCAGTGCTCCAGCGAGATATACCCAGCCTCCCCGACCAAAAGGCCGGCCATGAACGAGATCACAGAGGAATGGTGCATCTACGACATGTCCGCGCACCTTTCCACAACCAGCCGCGCGCCAGCCGCAAGCCCTGACGCACCAACTCCAACAAGCGACGGCCGGTCAACACAGCCCCCCACCGGGCAGCCCCTAGGGGCCTCAGCCGGAGGGGTCACCTCCAGCTACTCGCTTCCCGGCCTACCACCGCTCACTGCGCCATCACTCCCCGCGCACTCCACCCACCGTCTGGCAGGGGATGAGTCGAGAAATCCTGTCCGCGCGTTGGTGAAATACCTGATTGAGTGGAGCCGCGCAATCTACACCATCTGGGCAGCCCACGCGCAGCGCTTGGGAAGAGACATTGTGGGCGAGGTAACCGACGAATCGGGGTGGCCCCTCGAAGATTTGGTGCCCTTTCTGGCAACTATCTACGGGGATGACATACCCAGCAACGGCCATCCCCCGCGCATCCCATGGGACGGACAGAGGGCCGCGGCTGCCAGGGTTGTCACGCACCTAGTGGAGAGCAGCCCGAAGTACCAGGAGGAATGGAAGTGCTTCGCAGACAAACTCGACAATCAGGAAGGACAGTGCCCCCACCGACAGCCATTGAGTACACTCACCCTCTTTCTCTCGGGGATGGAAGATGACCTATCAGGAGGAACGATCGAGCTCCTCGCCGCCCAGCCCAAGGTGGCAAAGACCAGTGGCGCTGGTAAAGGAAGTCCCCCCACAGCCATTGGGCTCAACAGACCCTTGGAGGAACCGTCTGGCCCTACCTCTCTACACGCAGTTGGCCACGCGCCCCCCCAGTAACCCGTCGCGCCGGCCGCGCCATCAGAGCCTTTCACCAAAGGAATCAGCTTCTCCTCGGGGGTGATCTTCGGGCAGACCAAGCCCCTCGCGAACCTCGCGCCGCTCGCCATCGCTTTGCCCTGCGGGCAGCAGGGGGGGTGACTCGCTCGCGTGTCGGCCGCGCTCCCGCCCCGAAGGGGTCGCGTGGAGCTTCTGGTCGACGCGTGGCGTCCTGGTCCCGGCGCCCCGGACCTCAAGCCACTTGCCCCCCGCCCGGGCGATCAGAGTCCGTCCGTCCTGGTCGCGGGACTCAACGTCGAGGATGGGTCGGAATATTGCTCCGTCCATGGGCTGCGTGGACAGGGGCTCGGTGCTCTGCGCTGTCGTGAACCACCTGGCTCGGGGGAGGGTGTCGCCCCTGATGACCGCGTAGTCGCCGCCCTCGATGCTCG